CTTTTCGCGCTACTGGGACATCATCGCCAAGCACGAGGTGACGCAGTTCTACGTCGCGCCGACGGCGCTGCGCCTGCTCAAGCGCGCCGGCGACGAGCACGTCAAGGCCGACATGAAGCACCTGCGCGTGCTCGGCTCCGTCGGCGAGCCCATCGCCGCCGAGATCTGGAAGTGGTACTTTGAGACGGTCGGCAAGGAGGAGGCGCACGTCGTCGACACGTACTGGCAGACCGAGACGGGCTCCAACGTCATCACGCCGCTGGCGGGCGTCACGCCGACCAAGCCCGGCAGCGCCTCGCTGCCCTTCTTCGGCATCGAGCCCGCCATCATCGACCCCGTGTCCGGCGACGAGATCCACGGCAACGACGTCGAGGGCGTCCTCGCCTTCAAGCAGCCCTGGCCCAGCATGGCCCGCACCGTCTACGGCGCCCACAAGCGCTACATGGACACGTACCTCAACGTCTACAAGGGCTACTACTTCACCGGCGACGGCGCCGGCCGCGACCACGAGGGCTTCTACTGGATCCGCGGCCGCGTCGACGACGTCGTCAACGTCTCGGGCCACCGCCTCTCCACCGCCGAGATCGAGGCCGCCCTGCTCGAGCACCACTCCATCGCCGAGGCCGCCGTCGTCGGCGTCGCCGACGAGCTCACCGGCCAGGCCGTCAACGCCTTTGTCGCCCTCAAGGACGCCACCGGCGCCGGCGACGCCCTGCGCAAGGAGTTCATCATGCAGGTCCGCAAGAGCATCGGCCCCTTTGCCGCCCCCAAGGCCGTCTTCATCGTCCCCGACCTGCCCAAGACGCGCTCCGGCAAGATCATGCGCCGCATTCTGAGGAAGATTCTCGCCGGCGAGGAGGACCAGCTCGGCGATATCACAACGGTATGTTTTCGTTCCTGCCCCGTCACGTCTGTGTCGGAACGCCTGTGACTGATTTGTTTTTCCTTGTAGTTGTCGGACCCGTCCATCGTGGAAAAGATTATCAACCTCGTGCACGAGGCCAAGGGAAAGAAATGAATTTGAAGCATTTGTAGGCTTTGGGAAGGAAGGAAAGGAGGACACGGGCACAATGTTCCGCGGACGTATTTGATACCATGATGCCAGGACAGTTCGAACGTGATAGGGCTATGACGGAAATGGTCGCACTTGGAGTTGAGTGTTTGAAATTGAAACAGTTAATCATGCATTTTTCGCTCGTTTTGACGTTGTCGCCGGGTACTCCTGAGTATGCACTGAAGGAGAAAAGGATGCAAGCGGGAACACGTCGAAACGATATTTTTTCCGGAGCAAATCGAGAGTCTCTTGGGAAAGGAGGTGGGAATAGAGTTCGAGAAAGTGACAAACGACATTGGCAATGTAGTAGGAGACAAATCAAACTTGAACTATCGCGGTCGTCACAGAAAAAAAGAAGTAGTCCAGCTGGCAAAGCGTAAAGACTGCCGGCCTCAGCAATCGCCGACTCTCGGTAACATCGTGCCATCCATGCTCGAGGCACATCAACCCTGCACCTCTCGAGAGTCAAATCGCACGGCCAACGCCGTCACAGTGAGTCCTCGTCCAGGTGTTGTCGCCAACCGGGACCCTCTTCCAAAACGAACATGACGTGGACCGATCAAGAGGCCTCCAGAAGGCCGTTCAAGAGTTGGTAATCACTTTATCAATCATACCATTTCCAGGAGGAGCAGCTCGAGTCATACATTGCCAGATTCAAGAGTTCAAGTTGGCACCCGTGGCGGACAACCCAGGAGAGATCGGTCTTTCTTCTGCATGCTGAAAGACAACATCTCAACACAGCCACGCCGCGCGGCATGCCCATGTTCACTGCATGTCGCCAGCACACCGACGGAGTTTCTTGTCGGAGTTGACCACAAGCCCGACTACAACTACTTTCAAGCAGAATCGGTGGACTAAGAGAGGGGGCCGAAACAAGGGGAAACCCAGGCGGCCGCTGCGTCTCGAATAGCCTTCTTCTGAAGACTTGGCGTCTGATGTTTTTAAGTTGCGAAGATCACTGGATTACCGGTTGAACACCGTGGACATCCCCAGTATCCAGGCTATTGGTCAGCGGTGGGATCTCGTTCCTCAGGGTATCATACCGATAAGCAGCAATCTCGTCAGTGTACTGAGGCATTCCTTGCGCAGTCTCATTACAGTGCATGCACGTTTGAGGGATAGAGCAGAGTAGGGATGAAGAGTTAAGGACTCCGTTTTGTGCTGAACTTGTGAGGCGGCGCGTGGTTCGGATACCCGACTTGGCTTATGCAATCTCACACCGATTCTTGGCCAACTCCTCCAAAAAATGACACCAGAATGTGTGCCTGTCTGATCCATTAGATTCAAGATACTCGAGATGCCCTGGGCTTTCCCCGGGAACAACTTATGTCGATACACTTGACGGCTGAGCGCGGCCAGAGACAGCAACTGACAACTGCGGTCCTGATGGTCGTCGTTGATGTGTCAGCGCGAATCTGGCAGTAACTGGAACGCTCGGAAGCTTAGTTTTCAGGCGCCGTGCCACCGCCGCTAGAACGTGCAGGCTTCGAAAGGGAAAGGGTTGCAAAGTGGAATGTGCAAGTGGTGTTCGCTAAGTCCGGGAGGGTGTGTGGAGAAGCAGTGCGATGGCTGAGAGTCGTCGTCATCCTCTGCCCACCAGCAGCATTCGTGGCCGCCTGGTGTTGGGGCTTCGCCGCTGACCCTGAGAACACCACGTGGATGCAAGCCGTGATCGGAATGTTAACGTCAGAGATATTTGCCTGAATCGTGGTCAATCTCATATCAGCGCATCATCACCATATTCTTTAAGGGTCTTGCTGACGGACGCCAAGACGATGGCTGAGCGTAGTACAGGGCTGTGTGAGCCTTCGAGACGCTATATGCTTTGCATCGATCAGATGGGCGTGAGATCAACTAGCGATTTGTTTGGGTTGCTGCAGATCATGATCCATAGACCAGCGATAGTCATTAGTTCGGTCGTCTCCGGACTTAGGATAGACGAGGAGCAGCACTGATCAGAAGGGACGATCTGCAATTGGTGCCAGTGATGGAAGGTGTGCCACGAGGCCAGAAGGATTGTTTGCTGTATTGGGTGCCCATCTGATGGAACGCAGTGGAGTGGTCCGCAGGAGCGAGTCGTGCAGATTCGTGACTGAGCCTGCGCTTGCCTGCTTGTGGTCGCTCTGGAGACTCAGACATCGCGTCTACCAACGAGATCGTCTCGTTTGCTGAAATCAGAGTGGGCGCGCAGGCCGAGATCCCATCTGCCAGAGTGGGAACCTCGGGATACATCCATCCCTCCTACGGTTATCGTGTTGGCTCGTATCGAATATTGGCAAGGCCGGTCGGGGTCAACTCAATTTTCGCCCCTTGAAAAATGCACAACAATGTGGAAGCTGTCTTTTTGTGAACACGGTTGTTGCACATGGTAACATTCAAAGAGGATCGTCTGTGGTCGACGATCTGTTGGGTCTGAAACGCTCCACGAAGGGGGTTCATGGCCACAAGCACAGGTGTAGCTGGCTGAGCTGATCGAGTCTGCAAGTTGGTACCGACCTGCTGCGGTGGGGACACAGTGAGGGCTCTGCTGTGAATTGGACGCTCGTCACCAGACTTCGGGCAGGGTAGCACGGCATCCATCACGTTGATGGCTCGCCGCTAAGTATGCATCTGGCTGACAGACGGTAAGTGGTCTGTGAGGAGAGTGGCCCAGCCGAATGATATTTCGGGAGCGTCGGCGTCGACAGTCTTCTCTGCTTCAGCCCCGTCTCGGATGTTAGAGCCGCTTGGGCTTTGGAGACGCTGGTCCAGTGGACGCCCAGCCTTTCAGTGGGCGGTTCCACGTTCAGGATTATTGGAAGCCTGGGGTCGCCATGACTGCCGCGTGCCGGACGTATGGGCTCCTGATTGATAGTCAGGGTCGACCAGATGCCGCACAATGGATGAACAATTCGCGCTCTTGAGAATTCTCAACCTGCCAGGATCATCGTTGCCATGGTTTCTCCTGATCAGTACACCCGTCGCTCTGAGGGTCCGCGGCTGGCCGATGGGGATAACGAGACGAGACGGCCAGGGTGAGGAGACGTCGGCTCGGACTTGCCCAAGACTCCGCAATTGAACAATGCCGGCTGGTTAGTAGTGCTGGTAGACGCTGACGACGACAGCGTGAATAAGCTGCACCACGGCTACAAGCCAGGTAAGCCAAGGAGCAAGACAGCAAAGTGCAGTGGTGCTGACGAGTCAACGAGAGCGAGCCATCTTGGCTGTTCGGAGCTAAGGTGAAACTGATCCCCAACTGGTTGGCAGGGGCCTTGGAGGGGCCTTCCCACAGCCAGTGTCGTGCAGGGGGGTGTGGGCGACAGGCATGGGGAGGGGCCTCGGGGCGACAGGGGAGGCAAGCACAAGGAGCGCTAGCGCGGTACCTAAGTCTTGGGTGCTTGCGTACTCGTAGACCCAGTACCTCACGTTGCCCCCCCTGGCCTGCTTCGCCTCCATCTCCACGTCTACTACTGCTTCTGGGTGTCTCTTTCCCATCTGCCATCCCCATCTCATTGCCACCATTCGCCTGTGGCTTCCGTGCACCCAGCAAGCGTCGTCGTCGTCAGTCAGTCAACGAGAAACTTCCCAACTCTCTTCCAACCTTAACCCATCTTTCCCCACGCTACTACCGATTGCCAAATCCAGTCGCCCAGTTGCGACCCTTTGAACATATATCCCATATATCCAGACCCAACATCCATCCCTACATTCGCCCACTCAGACCCCTTGGAAAGTCTGTCGCAACAACCTTGGTCTCCGAACCGCCCGGGACTACCAGACGTCACCACTCGCTTCTCCTCACCTTCGACTTTGAACAAGCAAATCTAAACAACCCAACTCTGGAAGATCCTTACTACACACTACAACTGATGCAATAACCTTTACAAGAACCCCGTCCCGCGTCAGGGAACTCTTCGCCTCTCTCCCCCTCCCTCTCCCCCCCTCTCTGCCGCCGGCTACCACCAACATGGTTAGCATACGGGCCCTCCTCGCCAGTACACTCAGTGTCGCCTCATTAATCCAAGATGCCGTTGGTTCGTAGTCTCTGTCGCTCGTGGGCACTCGAGGCACATCAGACTACTAACACTACTCTTCTTTGAATAGCACACTCTGCACAGCGGAATCCTCTGACGGCTATCCATCTCATCGACGCCCCCTCCTTGAATACGCCAACAAAACGATGCCAGTACCACTCCTCATTCGACCTGACCTTTGGTCTCGAAAATACCCAACAGCAAATACGCCTCGCCCTCGAGCCAAACCACGACATCCTCCACGATGACATGCACGTCAACTACCTCGGTCCGGATGGCTCGCTACGGAAGTCACAGCGCATCAACCGCCATGATCACAAGGTCTTCCGCGGCGCCTCTTTCATTCGCCGCGATGGCCAATCTGAATGGACCAAGGTTGGATGGGCGCGGATAACGATGCATCGTGACGGCAAGGATCCTGTCTTTCAGGGCGCTTTTCGAATCGACGGTGACCACCATCACATTATGACTGGCAAAAACTATCGACGCCTGAAGCACCCCGAAGATCCACTACCCGACACCGACGCAGACCCAGATGAATATATGGTGGTGTGGAGAGACTCAGACGTCATGAGCTACTACTTTGATCCTCAGGACCTGAAGCGGGACACGGCGGGCCGTTCGAGTTGCGAATCTCAATCACTCACGTTCAATGCCAAATACGACCCCAACGCGTTTGAGGACGTTCGCCTGCGGGCCGTTTCCCCTGCTTCACTATTCGGGCGACAGATTGATTCCGGTCAGACGGGCAATAACGGCGCGGGCCAGAATCTTGTTGCCACCATCGGCTCGACTCAAGGCTGTCCGACCGTCCGCAAGATTGCCTTGGTTGGCATCGCCACGGATTGCACATATACCGCAGATTTCAACGACACACAGGCTGTTCGCCAGAATATTATCGACCTTGTCAACTCGGCTTCTGAAGTCTATGAGAGCAGCTTCAACATTTCACTCGGTATTCAAAATCTTACGATCAGCGACCGCGACTGCCCCGGTTCTGCCAGCGATCTCGCTCCTTGGAACGTTGGATGCAATAGCAATCTACGCATTAGCGATCGTCTCAACCTCTTCTCGGAGTGGCGTGGGCGGTCTAATGATGCCAATGCCTTCTGGACTCTGCTAAGCACCTGCAACACCAACTCGGCTGTCGGCCTGGCCTGGCTCGGTCAGGTGTGTGTCCCAGGTTCGCAGACAACAGCTGGTAGTGACGGTTCCAACGAGACTGTTGCTGCTGCCAATGTTGTTGTCCGAACAGATAGCGAGTGGCAAGTATTCGCCCACGAAGCCGGACACACTTTTGGTGCTGTCCACGACTGCGACGATCAACTTTGCGCCAGCAGTGAGAATCAGATGCAAAGATGCTGTCCTTTGAGCGCGAACACATGCAACGCGGCAGCCCGCTTCATCATGAACCCATCCACCGGAAACCAGATCCAAAACTTTTCCCCTTGCTCCATCGGCAACGTCTGCTCCGCCTTGTATCGCAATGCCGTTCGATCGGAATGCTTGGCCAACAATCGAGACGTCGAGACAATCACTGGAAGCCAATGTGGCAATGGCATTGTTGAGTCAGGGGAAGAGTGCGACTGTGGCGGCGCTGAGTCTTGTGGTAATAACCCGTGTTGCGACGCCGCGACCTGTCGCTTCACGACCAACTCGCAGTGTGATCCGGCGAACGAGGACTGTTGCACCGACCAGTGTCGTTTCGCCTCTCAAGGCAGCATCTGTCGTGAGAGTACGGGCCTTTGCGATCCGCAGGAAACGTGCCCCGGTGATTCCTCGGTCTGTCCTAGTGACATCCACAGGAGCGACGGTGACTCGTGTGGCGCTGATGGCGACAACCTGCAATGTGCTTCGGGCCAGTGCACGTCACGAGAGCAGCAATGTCAGGCTGCTGTCGGTTCCCGCGACACCAACAATCAGACGACATCGTGCGATAACGGCTGCATGCTCTCTTGTCGCTCACCCAATGTGTTCCAGACACAGGAGTGCCGACTTTTGAACCAAAATTATCTTGACGGTACTCCTTGCGAGAGTGGCGGAACATGCCGCAATGGCGTGTGCCGGGACGCATCGTTTACCAACGACGTTCTGGCTTGGTTCCAGAGGCACAAGAATATTTTAATTCCCGTAGGAGCTTCGGTGGGTGGTCTTCTCGTCCTAGCAATCCTCTGGTGCTGTATATCGTCAGCATGCAAGAAGCGGAGGCACAAGAAGAACGCCTCCAAACTACCTCCAACACCTCCTCCTATGAATACATGGAACAGCTACGGCGGGGCCTGGAATGCCTCCAACATCGCGCCAGTGCCCCCACCACAGCGGCAGCAACAGCAGTCGCCGCCGAGCCAGAGCTCAAACAACATGCCCCCCTATCCGGGTGAGGTACACACCGGCCATCAAGGCCAAGGATACGCTGACAGTTCGTACTCGGGCCAACAGCCATACCCCGGCCAGTGGCATCCGCAGAGGAGTCGGACGATGAGCATGAGATATGCGTAGAAAGGAGTTTTTACTCTACATGTTAGCATTTGCATCGGGCGGCGTTGACTGGCATCATTTCATTATATTTATTTTCTATTGCTCTTATTCTCGATATCGTCAAGGAGACGACGAATGGTCATAACAAATACACGGGAACAGTTTTGGGAGCGAGCCCACCAGGAGTAGGCATCAGCAAGATGCCCTACCGGATATCCATCATTTGGCAGCGGGCGGACATATACAGAAGATGTTGATAGAGTATACGGTGGATGAACAGACGGGCCCATTGGAGATAGGCAGTGCGGTACATAGGTTAGGGTCAGCTGGCTGGTCTCGTCTGGACACCGGCATGAATGTGACGACGTCTGAGCATATGATTTTGTGCCTCTGCATTTCTGGTGCTGTGATCCCGCTGCCGCTCCCCCAACCCTCGCTAAGTGAGACTGTCTCTGACACTTGAGTCCCCACAAAAGTAATTGATGGCCTGTTGTTCACCGCAAGTCACTCCCGAAGACTCGAATCATCAGCGTCGCTTGTGGCCATGCGGCCTGCCGGGACCAGAGCCGGAGCTCTTACGCTGAGTCGGCTCCTGCGGCGGAACATGATCCTCTTCGAAGCCGCACAGGACGCGGGTGAAGAAAAGGCGCGTGCCCGGGATGCTCTGTATCATGAAGTCAGTAAGACCACCTACCTGATCAACGCAGTGAAAGCTCAGCCAAACATGACCGAAAAAATGCCCTATAGCGTGGAGAAGGAGGGAGCTGGTTGTACAGGCCCAGACAGTCTCAGACAGAACCCTTGTGAGGGGAAGGAACGCTACAGTCGAGGAGCCGAGACGGGACCAGCACAGGGCAGAGAAGGGAGAAAGGGAAAGAAGAAAAAGGAAGAAAGAGGGTACGTACGTCCTCCCGACTTGAGGCATACCACATCAACATCTCCGGACTCTCCAGCACGTCCCTGGCCCATTCCCGCCTCCGGAACGCCTCGAATGTCTCCCCGCGCTGCCGCTCGCTTGCGCCGCCGCCGCAGCCAGTACCGCCGATGAACCCCGTGTTCTCGTCGTCGTCGCCTTCCGAGTCAGAGTGCCGACGACCCCCCGAACCGCCACGGCCGCCGCCCTGGCGGTGCTGAAAGTCGCCGCTGGGAAAGGGGTCTTTGCTGGACGCGCCAAAGGGGTCCTTGCCCCGGGCCTGACGGTCGCGCATCGTGGGCGTGAAGGACGGCGTCGGCGAGGGGCGGTGACGGGGCTGGGGGGATGATGTGTGGGCTGTTGATGCGTAGTAGGGAGGCGGGCGGGGGGTTGTGGAGGGGGTGGAGGTGCCGTAGGGTGTTGACGACATTGTTTTGTCTTTTTCCGGAGGATGACTGACTTTGCGTTTATGGTGGTGTTTCTGACCTGTGCCGTGCGCGCGTGCGTGATGTGACGGTATGGTGTTGGCTGATGGAGGCGCGGCGGTGTGTAGGATGCCTCTGGGGAAGGAGGGCGACCAAGAGCCTGAAGTGATATCGAACGGCGATGCGCCCCGAGAGGCGGCGATCTGTGACGAAGCTAATGGAATGAGGTGACAGCAACAGTCGTCAAGTTGAAAAGTGCACCTCGTGGACCGTACGAGGTTGTTTCAACCGTTGCGGAAGTTTGCCTTTGGATGCAGGAGCTCTCAGCTTCTGTAGACTGTTGACCGCCTCAAGCAGGAGGGCGATGTTGCAGCGAAAATGTACACAATCTAAATGCTTTGGAGGAGTCAATGGACGGCCTTTCTTCTTACGAAGGCAACTTGGTTGCTTCACTTTGGATAATCAATTTCGACAATGAGTTTGTAGACAAATCGTCGAGGACAAAGGTGTTGTGCAGCGGCACTCTCAATTGACAAGTGAGCACGATGATTGCGGGGTAACAGACCGGCTTTGTGATACGTCAATTCGTGCACAAACCGCCTCATGGCACCGACATGACCTGATAGTCACTTTTCGGAACCCCTGATGCAAACGACTGGAGTCCAACAACAACAGCATTCGCGCAGATTTGACACCATCATGTCACATGACATCAACGAAAAATGTTTATACAAATGTGATTGTTGCATCAGCAATCCTCCCGATGGTATACACGGCACGTCCAACACCCAATCCCCCTTCGCTACTGTACACAGCGCCTGCTCTCGAAACGAGCCAAAAACATCGAGCTGTTCCTCCGTTGCCGTCCCCTGAGCCCCTTCAGCGCCTAAAGAATGCACCCGCCGTATACTTGAATCCAGCGCATGCCTCGCTACAAAAGGAAAAAAAAGAGAACAAAAACAAAATGCAGCAGCATCTCTATCATGCGCCAGACTCTTGTCCTGCGCCGGCGGATATCGCACCATCGCTTTTTATCCCTTTCCAGAACCTCTTTTGAAAGTTTCCAGATCGTGCTATCCACCCCACAGAAGGGACGATAGCAGCACGAGCCGTCCAAGCTGCCTCGTCGTCGTGAATGTTATCGCTGCCTGAGTAATTCCTCTGGCGGCGGCGTTGTAGCAATGCTGATGCTCGGAAATAGTACTGCCGACGTAATTCTGAGCCTAGATGGCCCTAGGCCTGGCCCGAACTCGTTCGCGAAAGTGAGATTGTGTAGGCTCGCAGTAGGAGTCTATGTTACCTCCGAAAGTTAATTACGGCAAGCTGTCCGAATGTGTTAGTGATCTGACTCTCAATCCACAGACGAGAAGCTTTTTTGCACTCACCCTACTGTTGGCTCCGTATGCGAGGCGTCGGCCATCGCAGTCCCAGCCAAGGCAGTGCTCGTCCTCATCCTCCGACTCTGTAGTCGTTTTCGGGCTGAGCCAGCCGAGATGAGGTGTCCGGCTCCAGCTGGCTCGAGGGATCGCCGTGTCGCCAACCTTCCAGATCAAGATCCTGCCTGCGGTGGCGCCCGCAATGAATGCGCCGTCGGGCGTGAAGGCTAACCTGACGATGGGCGAGTCCATCGTAAGGAAGCACTTGGCCTTTTGATCTGGTTTCCTTGCATTCCAAATGAGGATCGCGCAGTCATCTCCGCCAGAAGCAATCAGTCGTTCATCATCAGGTACATGCGCGTCCTTGGGCACTGGCTGCCATTGCAAGGCCGTGATGGCGCCCGAGTGCGCAGAGATAGCATGCCGCTCGCCAGCCTCGTTCCAAAGCTACTGCCTGTCAGGACGGGAAGGCGTCACACGTGCATGGGGGAGACTGCAAACTTACGTCGAGCACGCCGCTGGCGCTTGCCGTAGCGGCGAGGTTGGACCTTGCGTCAAATTGCACTTGAGAAAAGTTATCGTCCGGTTGCGTCTCAATCTTCTTGTCCACGACAATAGCCGAATCGGTGCAGCGCAGCGAGACCAAGACTTGGCCTCCACATAACAGAATTGTCGCCTCACTGGTCCAAGCAGCGTCGAGCGGCCAGTTGTCAATGTCATGATCGGGCAAAAAGTACGTCAGGGTAGTCGAGGTCAGTGGTTGAAAAACGGAGATGAGCGCGCCGCCATTCTCAGGTGCGATGCCCAGTAGGGCCGTGTCGGTAGGATTCCATCGAAGCTTGATGACAGGTGATTCGGTCACATCAAACTTGCCGAGCTGCGAGCCGTCGGTTCCCCGCACCTGCACCGACGTCTTGCCTTCATGATCAATCGCCACAGCAATGGCCGATCCGACAGAGTTCCAGGCGATTTGGCTGACTGTTGCGCTGCGCGGCGTTGCGTTGTCGACAAGGCTGAGGAAGGGGCGGTTGACGCCGTTCACGTGATGGGAGTCGTGGGCGTCCAAGTCAGATTCGGAAGATGTGGCGGCACGCGAAACCGTCCAAACGCGGGCTAGCGCATCGGTTCCAGCAGCCGCCAAGACTGATGGGTCTTTGGGGCTCCACTCGCAGCTTAACAGGACGGGTGCATTTTCTCCAGCTGCAGCACGAGCCCGCATGGGTGACGACGAGGGCGACGCTGAGCTGGTGCCATTGGGAAGGTCGTCTGGCATCAGTCGCAAAAAGGTCGTCTCGGGTGCGAGTTCTTCGACCTTGTCGACCTGTGTGCCCTGTTCGGGACCGTCGGTGTGGGGGATTGGTGAGTGTGTCTGTTCGCCTTCGAGGGGCGAGGGATAAGCGTGGTTGTTGTTGTGGTCGGCCGGGGTTGGCTGATGGTTGTGGTTGTCTAGCTCCATGGGGTCTGTGGCTGCATCCACTCCGTTCTCGTACCCATTACTGACGAGTCGCGGGCGCTTTGCCGGCGAACCATTCATTTGATGCTGATGATGCGTGCGATTATCGAGTTGGCGTTTTCGCGAGTTCTCGACCTCCTCCATCTCCGCGTCGCCATCAGCATCGCCATCGGCATCTGCATCGCCATCGGCATCCACGTCGGCATCGGCATCTGCGTCAGCATCGGCATCGCCGTCCGCATCCTCTTCGTCGTCCTCGACCTTTTGTGGCGGTGGAGGCTGAACATTCAGCGGGCCAAAAATGCCCATCTGCAGGGCGTCGATCGGCGCGACGGGTGCGATGGGAGATGTCTGTGGCGAGGGTTAGTCGGCCCCCCCGTGAGAGTGAGTAATGAATTGAGTCGGCGCCGTGAGCGAGGCCTGTGGTTGCAAGACGGCGTGGTGCCGAGGATGAGGGTTCATTCACGGTTGTGATGTGTGACTGTGGGGCGCGCGTGGATTGGATTGGGGGGGGGTGTGGACTCACCGATTTGCGAACATGCTCACGCTCGAGGGCGTGGTAGCAAAGGCCCTTGTTGACGACGGAGACAAGGGCATGGCTCTTGATGTGGCGCGCAAAGTCGAAGTGACGATGAGGTTCAGCGTGCCACTCTTTCTGAAACTTGGCTGCCGTCTCTCGATAATCTGCGAGGCAAGCGTCAGTCCACGATGAGCGGGAGGCGGGAGAGGCATCAACGTACTGCCTTCGAGCAGGTATCTGTTGCGCGCAAAGAACACACACACTGGTCAGCATTCGTGGTCTCCAAAGTCGAACCGTCTCTCCCTCTCCGCAGCGTTGCGCGAGGGTACTGGCGAGTCTAGCCGGCGGCGTCGCGGTTTGATGGAGCGTGGGTGAGGTGAGACGCAAAACTGGATGAGGCGGAGGCAGAGAAGAGGAGTGGTGGCCGCGGGCTTACCTCCAGACCAAGTAGTTCACTCTATCGGAGTCGAGGTATTCCTTCATCATGACGGGGCGTGCACCGCGATGCGCGGCGGAATGGATGGATCCGACAATGAGAGACGCGTGCGAATGGTTTGACGGCGGGCTGGCCGGCTTTAGAGGCGTGCAATCGAGCAGGGCGATGAGTTCAGGTTTTCGAGGGACCGGACGAGGAGATTTGAAGATGAGGAACGGGAGGAGGCCAGCAGAAAGAAGCCCAGACGGAGCCGAGTGGACTGGGCCTGTCTGGCGTCTGCCTTCACTGGGTCCAGGAATTGGCAGTGCAGCACCAGCCGGCGCTAAAGCGACGGACTGGCAGTGGGTGGTAGCAGTGCCAGTGGGTGGCAGCTAGGGACAGCAGCGGTAGCAGACACTGTCAGCCGCTGGACTGGTGCGTTGCAGCGGAGAATAGGGCCAGGGAAGGGGAAGGGGAAGGGGTAGGGGAGGTAGGGGGTAGGGGGAGCGAAGAAGCCCCAGGGCAGGGAAGTGATGTGATGGGAAGGGGAAGGGAGAGGGGAATGAGACCCCTGCCTGTTCGAGGCCACGGTATCTAAGGTCGCTACCTACTTCACCTCTCGTCTCCTTGCCTGTACCCATGTAGCCACGATCTCTGTCACGTAGGTACCGTGACACGGTACCTGACGTCTTCGCATGGCGGCACTGGTCTGCCTCTATGCCGTGTCCTGTTTTCCCAACTTGGGGACACTGAGATGCTCTGAAACAGGTCCATCTTCGTCAGTGCATTTAGACAATCCCATCCATCCCGCCCTTCCCACCAGATCCCCGTCCAAAGATGTTCATCAAAGGGGAAGGGGGGGGTGGGAGTGATCACCAAAATTGTCAGTGGATCTCATTGCATTCGAGACACGGCAAGGTGACGGTACCTCGGGGCCCAGCTCTTATTGACCTGAACTGACTGATTACCTAACCTTCGCCCACACCCCAAATCCCACCAGTCGAGCTTTTTGCTGCGCTGGACCGACCGTTCTGCGCCCCGGTCTCGCTTCAACATGCATTGCATGCGATAGCCTGCAAAATCTGAGACGTGGGGGGGGGGGGGGGGGGGGGGCGGAGGATGGAAATGGAAACGGGGAATGGCTGCCTCCATCCTTATTCCTTGTTCTGTTGATCAGCGACACCGGACGACTTGTCGCGGCCTCGACACCTCGAACTGTCAATGCAACACAGATCTAGATC